AGAATTTTGAAATGAAAGTCAGAATTTTGAGATTACAGTCAGAATTTTGAAATGAAAGTCAGAATTTTGAGATTACAGTCAGAATTTTGAGATTAAAGTCAGAATTTTGAGATTACAGTCAGAATTTTAAGATTAAAGTCAGAATTTGAAATTAAAGTCAGAATTTTGAGATTACAGTCAGAATTTTAAGATTAAAGTCAGAATTTTGAAATTAAAGTCAGAATTTTGAGAAAAAAGTCCGAATTCTGAAATTAAAGTCCGAATTCTGAAATTAAAGTCCGAATTTTGAGATTAAAGTCAGAATTTCCCATACTAAATTGAAATAAAATTTTTAAATCAGTAAACTTCTTCATTTTTGTTTTTTGTTTTCTCCAGTGGTCCTAATCCTCTTCTGTAGAAATGATCCACATCCTCCATGAAATAATTCCTCTCTGAACCACAGGGCGGCGCTGGACTACAGCGCCGCCAAATGGCATTTTTTAAGTTTCAAAGATGGATTTAAAGAATGAAAGTGAATCATTTAGCATTAAACAAAGCAAACAGATTATCAGCACATTTCAAAGTTATACATGAATAATTGGTCATTCTCCTTAGATGAGTTATAGACACAAATTCAGGCGGATGTTTGTTTTTTCGTGTCGGTTGTGGCCTTAATGACCGACGTCTGGGCATCTCAGCACAGATGCTAGTTACACTGAAAGTTATTAAAACTCCACTGGAATTAGTCCAATTAATGACTTTAAATGAGTGAAATCGCCTCAGAAACGTTTTAAACACATTTACCTTCATCTTAGCACCTTTCCTTTGAAAACTACAACCTTTCAGACTCTGTTATCTAATCGCTTCAATATTTTAGGCCAATCAGTGGTTGAAAGAAGGGAAAGGGAAAAAGTACTTTGCATTGTCATTAAGGCAAATAATTGAAGAAAATACAATTAATAATTCAAATGATATAAGAAAATACAATGATGGACATAAAAGGAAGAAAATGGAGGAAACTTGGGATCCTACCTTAAAATATTAATGCTTATATAACAGCCAAAGGCGACACTAAAGTCTTTAATCTGGATTCAAAGCAACTGAAGTTCAGTGTTTTTTTTTTATCATTCTGGGATTTTCTACCAGATTATCTGAACATAAGAACTAAGAGCTGAAAACTTAAATCATCGCTAATCAAAAAAACACCTTTTTTGAACAACTATCACTTTGGTTATTGGCAGCGTGGCTTTTTAAGGCCAAAAATGGCTTCATGAGCATTTTCAGGATACATTAGTCAACTGATTATCGGGTCTATTACTGAATGCCTTAGTATAGTCAGAGGTTAGATATATTACAATTCAACACATCAAACTAATTATGAACATTAATAATAAAATAAGCCTTAGAGGGCAGGCCTGAACTGAAGGTAGGTAAAGAAGCCTTCAGTTTAGCCCCGCCCCCTGACGCAAAATGAGTGGTAGCTTGTGGTGACATCACAGCTGAACCAAATTTGCAGTCACACTGAATCAAAACGCTGCAGCTTAGAATGACAGTATAAGTTTTAACTTTGTTAGAGGGAGTTTTTTGCGTTTTTCTTTTTTGCCAAATCTCACAAAGTTTTCATAAATCCCTTTATAACTACCTTTATTTGTCCTATTATTTTAGGAACATGAAGAACAGCAGATTAATGGAGCCCTCACCGCATCCCGCCAAGGAAAGGCTCGTGGGCAGACGCAGACACGCGAAAAGCCATACAGCTGTGATCAGTGCGGGACAAACTTCAAAACACAATCTCAGCTGCAGAGCCATCTCCGAGCCCACGCTGGTGAGAAGCCATATTCCTGTGAGTTGTGTGGAGCAGCATTTAATAAAAGCTATCATTTAAAGAGACATAAGCGGATCCACACTGGTGAGAAACCATACACCTGTGAACAGTGTGGACAGTCATTCAGTAACAAAGGCATTCTTCAAAGACACGAGCAGAGGCTCCATAAGAAGGAAAAACCCTACACATGTGATATGTGTGGGAAATGTTTTGCTGTTAGCCAGACCCTGAAAATACACCAAAGAATCCATTCTGATGAGAAACCCTACAAATGTGACACTTGTGGGAAAAGGTGTAGGGAAAAGGGGGATTTGAGCCGTCATCTACTGACCCACACAGATCAGAGACATTATAGATGCGAAGTCTGTGGGAAAGAATTCAACCGCTTAGGTACACTTAAAAGGCACAGCCGAATACACACAGGAGAAAAGCCGTTTACCTGTGATGACTGTGGGAAAACCTTTAGTAGAAAGTTTACCCTGGATTGCCACAAACGGATACACACCGGAGAGCGACCTTACTGGTGTGAAGTGTGTGGTAAACTCTTCCCTACTATGACAGGGATACGTTATCATCAACAAATCTGTAAACCAGAAGGAATCGCATCTTCAACGAAATGACATCGCTATGAAGGAAATTTTTATTTTATTTTTTATGAGGGGAAATTTAAACACCCTGCTATTTTTCACCCAGCTGTATTATACAAACAAATTGTTGAAAAGTCACACATTGTGATTTCTGGGTTTATTTTATTTTTAGATTATGTCTCCATCCACCTACGATGACGATTTCAGAGATTTCTAAGTGGAAGAATTTGCAAAACGGTGGGGTGTTCAAATACTTGTTTTCCTCACTGTAAATTGGATTAAAGTGATTAGGATTACAGATTGTGATATTGATTATGTTGATAAAACACTATAAAAAAAAAAAGTCATTATTTTAGCTATATTTTTTAGATTTTGTAATGAAGCATTTTAATCATATAGGATGAAAATATTTTTAACTTCTTCCATTTTTTTCTTTTTGCTTGTGGTTCTTGGCTATTAGTGTTTGAACTGGTACCTGCTAAGCTAATGCTAAGTTCAGTTGAGCCCAGTGCTACGTTTGATTGTTTAAAAAAAGTAGACATACATATTTTAATGAGTGTTTACTGCTGGTGACCCAGTAAAATGTATTTGCTCTACTTTGTTTTTCTTTTAATGAATTAAAATATGTCCAAACGTCCTGAATGCGTGCTGCCTCGTTGTTTTTACAAACTTTTTTGGAAAACAGGTGTTTTGCTGCCGTAAAGCTTTTACTTGTCAACAAACACACTCTTATGCATCTAATTGCTGCTTTATTTAATCTGGTTAAATGATGGGTTTTCTGTGAACACAGCAAACAGGCTGTTAAAACAGATGAAAGTAGTTCAAGCTGAAATCATGGTCAGTTAACTCTCAACATGTGGAATAAGTTCTTAATACTCATTTAAAATTAGCGGTTGGTATAGATTATTTTTTAATCTAGTTTAATCTTATTTTAATCTTGGAATTAATCTAGACTATAATGGCTAAATAGAATTCAGTCAAAGGTTTTTTTTGAGTCAGAATCACAATTACTTTATTAATCCTTTGCAGGAATCAGTGCAGTTGTTCACAGAGGAGAGAAAAAATAGATTTTAAGTACAAATAAGATCCAAGAATAAAATAAGGATGATATGCTGCCTAAATAATAAGTAAAAAATAAAACTAAGTCTTTGAACAGGTTTATCAAGCCAGTCGGTGCATCGTCCCAAACTGCTTGAGAAAGCTTTTCTCCAATGAGTGGTGATTAAAAATAAATAAATAATATAAGATATTTGTGTTTAATAACAGTTTATTCAGATTAACAGGAATTCTGAACTACATATGATGAAGTGTTTACAGTTAGCAGCTCTGTGTCAGTCAGTCCAAACTCTTTCTCCCTTTTCCTCCAGTCGTCCAGGCGGTCATTATAATGTCCTGTGATTCGCAGCAATGGCTGCTGGGTAAATATGGAGAAAAAGATCAACATTTGAACCCAGGTTATGTTAAAGAGGGTTGTTTATGTTGGTAGGCTGTTCGTGCTAAGCTAACATTATGTTCTGGAGGTTGCAGCTCTAAGATTGTTTCACCGGTTGAATATAAGGAAACAAGCATTTCTGTTTATTTTGCAGAAACAAATGGCATCTCTGCTGACCTTGGTTTTAGCAAGAGATCCTTGCTAGCGAACACGCTAAAATATGAAGGAGGAATTGGGACAAAATTGGACAAACGGTTCAATTTTCTGCAAATATTTCTGAACTTAATCCAGACGATGACGGAGCGACCAGATTAACCTAAAAAGCTACGACTAAATGACATCTGGTGTTTGGAGGGATTTTCAATAATGACGTAGTGGAACCGCTGCACCCGTTAGCTAGCTACATGCACGTGCTTCAGAATGTCTGCATGTAGCTGAGGTCATACGCTAGCTAGCAAATCATCAGTGATGTATATTTACCTCTTTCTGATGTTTCCTCTTTATATGTCCCGCCTGTCGCCATAATTAGCCCATAAGGCTAATTAACCATCAACCCAGAGCAAAAAATGGCGAACAAACATCATAGTTCGACCGCCATCTTGATTTCATTCCATTCAGATCCCGTCACTCCTTCTAAAGGCTGCTTAACAACAGAGCATCGTTAGCTGTGAACTTTTAAATTCTGCTAATCCGTCGTAAACAGTTTGAGCTGTAGCTGATTAAAAATATCGTAGAGTGTTTCCTCGGCTTTGGTCAAAAAGATCCTTTTAATTAAATAAAAAGTAACGCTTCCTCTCTTTCCTGTTATACTTTTTTACATTTTTTAAAAGGCGTTCTGAATGAAATCTTGTGATTTCTGTTATCAGGTCATCTGAGGTGATTCCAAGATTCAGGAATGGAAAGCAAAAGTTGGTTTAGTTTTTGTTCACCTAAACTAACAGCAGTCAGTGAAGGATGTGAATAATTGGTGAACACGACATTTATCACCAACTATGAAAAAAATCATAGAGGAAATGCTGGAATTCTGAGAAATATTCCTAAAATGTGAGTTTTTACTGCTGCATTGATCTAAACTTGCTGACGTGCTCAGAGTGAAAGTGAAAGCTTAAACGTCTCAAACTGAAAGTGAAAGAAGCGTCTGCGTTGCTGTGCCAATAAACAGCCTGTTTAACAGGAAACCTTAGATTTTATTTTAGCTCTTCCAGCCTCTAATTTGTGTTAAAATGATCCCAAACATGGATTGACCTGCAGCGGCTCCTCAGATGCTGAGAGATGGATGGAGAGCAGAGCGGCTCCGATCTGGACCTCATCCTGCTGATGGTGGCTTCAGCTAAAGGCACCTTTCACACTGGAGCGTTTTTAGTGGACAATCATCTGTTTTCTGCATTAAAAGGTAAAATATCAGCTGCTTCTTCTTCAGCCTGAGAGACACTGGAAAAACGATGTAGAAATAAGTAAAAGTTTCTTATATTAAGTGTATTTACCCTTAATTTGAGCAGGTAAATGAGATTATTAGTCAATGGAATGAGTATTTTTACTCTTAATATAAGATATTTAGATAAAATGCACTTGAAATAAGACAATGAAATTGTGTTTTCTTCTTTTAAGTGTAAATCGTCTTGTTCCATTGGCAAAATGTCTGTTTTACCTCTTCAATCCAAGAACAAATGCCCTTATTTTAAGGAAAAATGACTCATCTAGATGTTGATTTTTTCCAGTTTACAACCTCTGATTAATAGGCTGGGGATGTTTGTTCACTTTTGTTTCACTGATCAGAGATCAGATTAAAGTTTCAGACTGATTTCTTTCTGTTTCTGTTGGAACCAGTCCAGACATCCTGGTTCTGAGCTTCTCTATTCAATCTTTCAGCTCAAAGGATTTACAATTTTTTTATTGATCAGGTGAAAAAATCCCGTTTAATAAAAGTTTTCGGTGATCGTAGAAAAAAAACGTGCTTTTTCACCAAAATAAATATAAATATTGTTACAGGAATGGAAACTTATGAATAAATAACCTGCCACCGCTTTGTGACAATGATTTGGTTTCATTCTAAAGATTTATTTATTACACACTTTAAACGCATAAATAACCAGCTGTCAGAACTAAAGTAAAAGGAGAAGTTGTTTGTCATTCCAGAGGTCCATCATGAGGTAGATGATCAAGAAGGAAAAACATCACCAGGATCTAAAGATGGAAAAATTCCCACTGGTAGCTTATTTAGTTTCACATTACAGCAGAATTTAAAACTAAACATCCATAAACCTATAAAGTGCATATTGCCAAAGCGTGCAGCGATGAAAAGTTTTTACATTTCTCTGGTTCTGATGTTGACAGAACTTTGGTCAAACTTTGAGGGTCCAGAGTCTCTGATCCGCTTCGTTTATGAGGCGTTAAAAAACATCTTTTAAAGTACTTATAT